CCAGCCACAACCAAACTTGCTTGCAAACCTTCTGCAACAACAATCCCGCCCCCTTGATAATCGACCAATCACATTCACTTTATTCATTCGTCGGGCGTCACTCGGGAGAGTTCGGAAATGCAACGTTTGGAACGGCTGCTTCTCTACGACTTTAATTGGTTCAGATCTGTGGGGTTCCTCAGGGCTCCATTCTTAGACCCCTTTTATTCTTCACCTTACCTCAGATTCTGCATCGCTGTAAGATCTCTGCTAACTGGGATGAGAAGCAACCTGGTCATCCTGTGTCTCCATGTGACGCCATTCCTCATGCCCCTGTCACACCTTGACGATTTAGACCAGCTTATGCCTGACATACAAAAAATCTGGCTAAAAAGCTAGCATATTTCGGATAAGTAATGGATGCGTTTTGTGTTTTGAGCACGCTGAAGTATGCTGGAACATGGACATACGGCGAGTACGTGGGGAAATTTTGAGCGTGCTCCAAACTGCTGCATCCACAGTCCTGAACAGATCCTTTTAAAACCATGTTTGTGTTTTTCACATCCAGAGCAGTTTGTGTTTAAATGCAGTCAGCTCTGAACCATGCAGGTCATTTTGGGCCTTGGTCCTTTTCCCAGAACTGAACCAGAAGCCACTCGGCTCTGGATCGAACTTCCAGAAGTTTCCACAAACTGTTGGTTCTAAAGTTGAGCCTAAAAAGCCCAACGTTTGCAGCTCAGATTTATCTGACATTTCAATGCATGTGAATTCATACAAATGAAAAAACTAGATTTAAATTTAGTGTAGATAAATATATCAATAGAAAAGAATGAAATGGATGATAATAAATCAGCTTATTTGTTTTTAAATCTCAGTTTTTGTCTTGATTTGATTGTGTTTGTGTTTAAATAACCGTTCAAATGAAGGATTCATGTCAGGAAAACGATTGTAAAATCTCTGAACCTTTTAGTTGAGCGACATCTGGTGGACAAATGACAGTACTACAGATAGTAAACACTACTAGAACTGATAGCAGTGTGTGTTAGGTTGTTTCATCATCAGGCTCATTCAACCAAATGATTTTTTTAGGATAGAAAAACTTTGGCTGTTTTGCTTTAATGTTCGACCTTCTGCCTGTTAGTAGATGCATGTAACCAACATCTGCTGTGGTCGGGTCCCTGTGTGTGCAGAGCTGCAGGTGTCGTCTACCATCAGCCTGCAAGAGGCGTTTGATAAGCTGACCCCCGTCTCCTCCGGGATCATCGACCAGCTGAGCGTGCTTCCAAACAAAGAACAACCCATCAAGGTTCCTCCTCACTCTAAGAGCAGATCTACGTTTTATCTGGGTGTTTTGTTGCTGAGCTGCTGTCTGTCCTCAGGTTACGGCCAGCGTTTACATCCCGTCTCAGGGCCGGCTGGTGTGCGGCAGAGAGGACGGCAGCATCGTCCTCGTTCCCGCCACGCAGACGGCCATCGTGCAGCTCCTGCAGGGGGAGCACATGCTCCGGAGAGGTGAGGAGGGGGAGGGACCCCTAGAGTAACCCTACAAAATGCTAATGTCATTATTTTTATTTTAGAAAATGATCATATTCTAGGTTTCTCTCTCTCCTCAGCTCTAATCTCATCTCCCCTCCACTTGTCTGTCCTGCAGGCTGGCCCCCCCACCGGACCCTGCGGGGCCACCGCAACAAGGTGACCTGCGTCCTGTATCCGTACCAGGTGTCCCCCCGTTATGACCAGCGCTCCCTGGTGTCGGGGGGAGTGGACTTCTCTGTCATCGTTTGGGACATTTTCACCGGAGAGATGAAACACATCTTCTGCGTTCACGGAGGGGAGATCACCCAGCTGATCGTTCCCCCCGAAAACTGCAGCGTAAGACAGAGACGTCTTTTACCTCCTGATGCGTCCTCTGTCTGCAGCGTTAGCGCTCTGACAGAGGAACAAAACATACTGGGACTAAGAAACTAACTTTTCCAGCAATAAACATTTGCTGCTGTGTTTTATTGTGGTTCTTATAAATAGATTTTTAATGGTTTTATTTTTGCCAATAACTGGTTGAAGAGCTGCTGGTGAAGGAACCTGAAGCCCCTCTGCTGTCCTCAGCTCCTCATGCAGCTCCTCCTGCTGTCTCCTCCCTGCAGACCCGGGTGCAGCACTGCGTTTGCTCTGTGGCCAGCGACCACTCTGTGGGACTGCTCAGCCTACGGGAGAGGAAGTGCATCATGCTGGCGTCCCGACACCTGTTCCCCATCCAGGTCATCAAGTGGCGCCCTGCTGACGACTACCTGGTGGTGGGATGCTCTGACGGCTCCGTCTACGTCTGGCAGATGGACACAGGTGAGCTCAGTCTGGTTCTGGAAGATGAATGAAATTCTAATGGCAGCCGTTTGATCAGACAGGTTTTTGGCATCATTTGTTCAGTAAAAGTTATGGCAGCAGCTGCTTTCTATGAAGGAGCTGATCCTCACAATTCAGACTTTCTCCTGTTAGAAACGCGACTTTGGAAAAACGGCTGGAAAAACCTCAAATCAAGAGGTGCTTTGCTCCTGCTGCATTTGCATAATTCCTGTATGAATGCTAACATTAGCCATTCTTGCAATCACAATGCTAACATTAGCTATCCTAGGCATAAATATGCTAACATTAGCCATCCTAGCCATGAATATACTAACAATAGCCATCCTAACCATCAATATGCTAACATTAGCCATTAGCTATCCTAGCCATCAATATGCTAC